GGGGGGGGATTGCAGAGTTGTAAGTAGGGGAGGTGTGTGCGTGTGTGTGCGTGTGGGCATGGGGGATGCAGGGCTGCCAGGCGGGGTGCCTGCTCGAACAGGAGGGCGCACCTTGAGGGTGTAGATACGCTCGCCGTTGGGGCCGGGGTAGAACATGAGGTGCATGGTGATGAGGAGGGGATCTGGGTGGCATGCGGAGCAGGGGGGGAGGGGGGGTGTGAGTTTGGGTGACAGGACTGCTCAAGTGTTGGTGGCGATAGGGGAGCGGATGTGCGCATCACCAGGTGGTCGGACAAAAGGGCTGCTCTGCCGGCAGGGCATGCAAGCAAGGCAGCCGAGGGGCAGGGGGGGGGGGGGCGGGGAGGAGAGGAAATGGTGAGGGGAGGAGGGGAGGGGCACTAACGGGGGATGAGGCAACAGGTCAAAAGAGGAGGGGGAGGGCTGTCTCTGAGGGGTATCGAACAGGGCAGCCGGGGGAGGGTGCTGCCTGACAGATCTGGCGAGAAGGGGAGGAGAGGGCGGGAGGGTTCTGGCAGTCTCGATCATCGGGCCTCATGCATGGAGGGGACAGGTGTGTGTGCGCGTGGGGCAGGGAGTTGTGATCAGCATCCCGAGGAGGGGTGGGAGGGAGTAACGGAGTCCCCCCCCCCCCCCTCTCTCTCTCTCTTCCTCTTTCTCTCGGACGCCTGGGGGAGGGGGGTGATGGGACCCGGAGGCGGGGAGAGCCCGGCCACGTTGTGGGAGTCTTGCGAGGGACCCGCTGAGGCCCGGGGGGGGGGGGGGGGGGGGGGGCGGGGGGGGGGGGGGGGGGGGGGGGGGGGGGGACCTTGCCGGGAGGGGCCGTGTTGCCTCGACGTTGGAGGGCGGCTCGGCACATGGTGCCAAATGGTATTCCAAGTCACGCCCCATCTCGATGTATCGCGTGTTCATGGGGCGATTATATGCGCTTGACCAATGGCTGGCATGGGCTGCTTCGGCGACCTCAAAGAAGCCTCCCCCAGCGGGCCGACCCCCGCGGATCGGCGTACGCGTGTGAGGTGGGGAGGGGGGGGGAACATTGTTTTGATTTGGTGCGCGTCCAGCTTCATTCTGCGATGTGATGTCCCTCCTTATGCGGCTCGGGGGTGGATTCTGTTGCGCCTTTCCCCCTCTGGTTTGGGTGTGTGTGGTGCGTGTAGAGGCCGAGGGTCCCCGCACGAACTCCGGAGTCGGCCCGGGCGACAGGGGGCGGCCATGTCCGAGAGATCCTCACGCGGGGTGTTCCCCTCAAAGAGGGGGGTCCATGGCCGCGAACGCTCGGGCTTGGGGGTGAGGTGCTATCGGGGGTCTTGCCGCCCCTTTGGGAAGAGTGAGAGTGCGTGTAGCGCGGGAATGGCCCCGTCGGGGGTGAGAGGGAGCCCAGTCTTCTGCCGGAGCCGGATCCTCGTCAGCCCCCGCCCGGGTTTCGGTCTCCTTTGGCAAGGGTATTCCCCAGTGTGGGGGGATCCCACCAACGAGCCCGGCCCGGCGACCCTCCTCGACCGTGTGGTTGAAGGAGGGCGGACGAACGGCTGGGCCATCGTCACGCAGGCTGGCGCTGGGGTCACATATTCCAGACCCTTCCTGTGCCAGTCCGCGCGGATGTCCCTCTCGGTGGTGAGTCGTGCGCGACGGTTCGCATCCGGGACTTCCCGTTAGTCGGGGGGGGGGGGGGGGCGGCGCTTCATGGGCGGCTGCCCCGTCTGTGAACCCTCCACGCGCCGGAGGAATTTCCCTCCAGGACGAGGGAGGGGGCGGCGGGGCCATGCGTGTTTCCTCTCCCCCTCCTCAGGTTCGGGAAGAGCCTCTCTCGCCAGCGGGCGGGAGGGGGGGGGGGGAGATCAACCCGGGGCATTCGGTGCTCGGTCGCACTTGCTGGAAGGGCCTTCCGTTTGGGCGACAGGCGGGTCAGCCATTCGCCTGGCGCTCGGGCACGGCCTTGCGCCCCGACAAACGCTGACTCGGTGCGGCTGCCGGCCTTTGAAAGGCCCCGGGTGGACTAGGCTGTGATGCAATGTGGCGACCCCCTTCCTCCGCGAGCCGACAGGCGCGGGGTGCGGTTCCTCCACGGTCGACGGTGGTGGCGGACGCGACCAAGAGCACGACCATCTCGAGCAGCCAGGGCCGGCCCGTTGACCTTCTTTATTCCACCGTGCCCGAGGGAGCCGGGGGGGGGGGGGGGGGGCCGGGCGTCCCACATCGACTATCGGGGGCCGCGGCAAGGTCCTAAGGTGGCTAATTTAGCCGGAACGCCGTCGGAGCACCGGGCAACCTTGACGCCGGGTCAGGACCCCTGAAGAGGCCAGCCCAATGGAGCTAGGCCCATCGCTTGCCCGGTGACGCAAGACCAGGACATCGCCGCCGGGCTGCGTCTGGCCCGCCGGGGGGGGGGGAGACCACCGCCGCCGGGGCCCGGCAAGAGCCCATCCTCTGCCACCCACGCGCCGCCTGCGACCCACCGACGAAGGCCGCGCCGATGGGGACAAGGCAGGACAGCGGACCTCGCGCGGCGTCGCCTCGTTCCGACTTGTGTTGCGGCTCCGGTCGGGAGAGGACGGCCCCCGGGAGGGGGGGGGGGCGGCGCGCCGGCCCATGCCATTGCTGACATCGCCCTGAGGGCCGGCCGGCCGAACAGGGGGGGGGGGGGGCGAGGGCTGTGTTAGCCATGCCATGGAGTGCGCTTCTGTTGCCGAGGACGGCCGGCCGCGCCCGTTCCGCGTGTGCGGGCGCTCCACCGCCCAAGCTGGACTTTCCGGAGTCGGAAGCGGCAGTCCCGTTGCGACGCCCCCGTCGCCCCTCCCGCGGTGGGGGCATCCAGTCGCAAGGGCAGCACACCCCTGATAGATGCTTCTCTCGGGCCCACGCCCCGCGCCCGCACCTTCCCCCCGCGCATCCCTAGGAGGAGCGACTGACGAAATGAGAGGGGCCATGCGCGCGCTGGTCGGGGGGCCCTCCGCTCGCCCCCTTGGAGAAGCCACAACGGGGCTGGGGAGGCGGGGCGGGGGCTCTCTCTCTCTCTCTCTCTCCCTCTCCGCGGGGCGCCTGAAGGCGGGAGAACCGGCGCCTCGAGGAAAGAGGGGCTTGGAAGGCCCCAGGGGCGGCCCGAGACGGGGTCACACAACGCAGCCCCCCCCCCCCCACCCACCCGGCGGACATGCTTCGGGCCGGGGAGGGCTTTGGC